TGCAGTATGGGTGAGTGTGGCAGATTTCTATTTATTTTCACACGACATTAAAATGCATTAGGTATTGGACAAAATTATTAAAAATGCCAGAAACCCGTACCCAAAGAAATGCTACTTTATGTTATATAATATTGAAAAATCCAATCTTAGATGCAGGTTAACCTGGGTTAGTCATGTCAAAAATATATTATTTTTATGTAATTTAGATGATGTTTGGGAATCACAAACTGTCAATAACGTAAATGTGTTTTTGCGCATTTTTAAGAAAAAAATGAAACAAATTTTATATACTGATTGGTTCAGCCAGGTATGTACTTTAGAGAAACTGACATTTTATAGGGAATTTAAATTTTCATTGGAACCTGAAAAGTATTTATTTTGTGTGAAAGTGCATTCTCATGTTCAAATGTTAGCTCGACTCCGCTGTTCATGCCACTATCTTCGTATTGAGACAGATAGACAAAATAATGTAGATAGGAGTGAACGCATTTGCTTGCTTTGTAACAGTAACAACATTGAAAATGAATACCATTTTTTACTTATTTGTTCCTTTTTTGTTAATTTAAGAATAAAGTATATTCCTGCTAACGTTTTTAATCCCCCAACAGTCAGTAAATATTACAAATTAATGGGTACAAAAAATACAGATCTTCTTCAAAGACTGGGAGCCTTTACTTTTCACGCAATGAAATTGCGAAAAGAGCTACAAGTATTGTCAATTGTTTAAAAATTGTAATTTTATTTTCAAATATAAATAATGTATGTAGATATTATGGGCCGATGGCCTTCTATTATAAATAAAGACCATATATATATATATATGAAATTTTATTTCAGTTTAGAATAAAAACAACTATAAATTAAGACCGCATTGAGGTTCGGTTTAAAAACAATCTACTTTATAATATAATATAATTTAGTTGGCATTTCATAAAAATTGACAAATTTGAAAATGATTCTTTTAACCAAAAGAAATCAATTAAAAAACATACATATAACATGAACCATAATCGAACTAGGCCTAGATTACAAACTGATTGATAGAATATCCATGTTTAAAATAAATTTGATGGAAACTGAGTTATTGTAACCATCGGAATTTTATGAGAGATCGGGCAATGTCAACAACAACAACAGCAACAAGAACACACATTTTCCCCTCGTGTATCATGATATGAACAAGGTAAAAATTAAATATGCTTGAGAAACGTCTTGTAAACGGAAATCCTTTTTTGCAAAATAAAGTAAAATCCAATAATTGTAATTAGGGACATTAACGTTTGTAAACTGACCACTATTCAAGGCAAGTATTATGTAGTTATGTGGAACTCTAGTATAATTATAACCAGTATACTAAGTGTAAATATGGACGGGGCGTAGACGCCTCCATCTCATGGAAATGACAGAAATATTATATGCAGCATTTCGAACACTTGTATATGAAATGTATAACCCGACGCCTATTTTTAATGGCGACGGGAATATCCATGCATTATGCGTGGTGCATTGAAATAGCCTCGTGCACATTAATGTAATTGTTTAGTCCCCCCCCAAACATGTTAATTGTACTGTTAATTTCAATTATGTACATGGTGATGTATATATTATTTTCAGTTGTGTCAAGCTTGTATACAGAATGAGTGAATATATATGTAAATTAACTGTCGAGGCAATCATTGACTGCCTTCCATTATAACTGTATGTTACTGTAGTGACACATTCATGTCGTGTAAAATAATACAGTGTGTTGATATTCTGTACAGATATACAAATATAATTTACCTTGAAACTATTACTTGACTCTGTATGTATAATGTGATTCTTGGTAAAGTTATCTTTCTGCTCAGCATGCAATGTAACGTATATGCATATCACCATCTGTTGTATTTATGTTCTGAATATAAAAATAACATCTAATATACAAATAAACTTAGTACCATGTACCAGTACCATTTAGATGTTACTATATTAAATCAGGACTAACAGTGGACGGATGGAAAGTCAAGAATTCTGTAGGCAACGGTTTCAAGGCATGCAATACATACTTTGCACCAGGCGCTAGTAAATGGGCGAAGCTCAGGGAACACGAGCTTTTTTCGAAACTAGTGTCTAGTACTGAAGAGATTTATAACAATTATCATGTGACCCGATTTGAAAAAAAATCAATACTCAATCAGTTTTGCCTTCAGAAATGTATTTAAACATTTATAGTGCACATAATTTCAGACCTACTCATTCAATATAAAATCTTCACAAAACTGGTAGTAATTCTGTAGATATACATAATTGAAGTGTTAGCATTCAAAATGGTTGAACAGAACAGAAATTGTTTGAAGAACAAACAAACACAATAATACGACAGTTTATGAGGCTATTTAATGAACCAAACCAAACGTATGAATATTTCCGTTGTCAAAAAAAAAATAAGCATCAAATTACGCATTGTTGGAGATACTGCATATAATAATTCTGTCATTCTGTGTTGCCACCATCGCTACTGCAACTGTCACCTATTTATTTCCCTTTACACAGAGAAATGTCAGCTTTCATAGAATTCACAGAATTTCGAAAAAAACCTCTAATAGTTTTACCTACTATATTCCAAGATAAACTTGGATATAGAACCATACAGTAACTATAGAAGCACGTGTTCCACTAAAAGTACGCATATGTCAGAGACAAAACAGCAGACGACAATATTTTTTTTCAGTCAGTGTAAGAGATTATTTCGTGAATGTCGGGCCAGAATAGAGATTTGAATGACCAGAAAAATAAATCGAGGTAATACATTGGGTAGTATACAATTGTTTTTGTAACTTCTTTTATTTCTAGTTTAATTAAAAGAAGAAGTGAACTTCACTTGTGGCAAATAGTTGACTCACAAAAGTATAACTGCACTAATGTCTTTGAATTGTCATGGAATTCAATGTTACTTTTAGAAATATGTTCCAGCAGTCTTCCACACTGTTATACATATTACACACGCTGAAAGTTATAAGCCTTATAATGAATTACTCAAAGTTGTACAGAAACTATATTAAAATAGACGACTTAAATAAAACGATTTCACCAGTTAAATTCCAAAATATTTGATTAATCCAATGATATTGCTTTAGATTGATGATTATTTCAATTTGCATTTCAATCAATCGCCATGTTTAATCATGCTACGTACACCGGAATATATACTTATAATCAAACAATGTAAACACAAATTGCATAAGTTTTGGAAACAGATCAACACTTATTAAAATTGGCTACCGGCACATCTGACTGCCGTCCGGCATTATTGTTTTTGTACGTGGTCCGGCATGGCAACGATTTCGCTGGTGAAACGATAGAGAGATGCGGATATCAAAGCTTGGACTGTATCTTCAATCAATATAATAAAAATCAAAAGTCTCCCGGTTAGGGAGGAGACCCGATGTCGTATTTACATGAAAGAAAACAAGTGTCAATGCTTTAATTGACATCATAAACGATCTTTTATTATATCTGTGAGGCTGATAAAATGACATACTTACAAAACAGAAGATAATTTTCTCGTCAATCAAGTCCAATCTATTGGATACGCGTAGATAAAAACACAGCAATCGTGCTGAACTGCATCAATTTATGATTTTCTAGTGAAAGAGAACATAGTACTTATCGATCCGCTATGCTAAGCTTATTACATCCAGCAAACGCATGAAACCCAGCAAAGCGAATGAAGAAAATCACGATCTTTCTAATAAGAAAACCAGATTAGACCTTGAGGTAGGATTAGACAAAATAACAACTCCGGAAACAGTAATCAGCTTTCTGCAACGAGTGAATCAGAGGTCATGATGAGGGATTTTTTTTTTTAAAGTCACAAATATAAATTTTTTACCAGAAACTACAGAAATATTCATCACAGTTAGGGAAATAAAGATATCATCTCGAAATGAATAATCCCGAGAGGGTTCCATCATGTCGATATGTATAATACCAAGGTAATCAGACTTGCGGTTTTCAACACTTGTTACCCAAAATGACATTCATATTCACTAAAATTGAAGAATTAAAGAACAAAATGAACAAATCTTAATGAGGTATTTCCAAGGTACATAAAGTATCGAAGCAATCAGAATTTTCAAGAAATCGAAAAAAGTTAAAAGTTTATGCAGATGCTGTCAGACACCGACAACAAATGATGCACATGACTATGTAGAATCACTCATGATGAGCTCCGCCAGACAAAGTCGACAGCAAAACTTAAAAGCTGACGCGGATGATGGCGACGACTGACAATCAGTAATATGATGAGCTCTGCTGAACAAAGATAATAGCTAAAAAGTTGCATTTTAATGGCAAAGAATCATGTAGAGTGATCATGATTTGCATGTATTGGTAACTAATCTTAGAATGTTCTTGTTGTCCAAAATCTTTAGCGACTGGAACTCAGATGAGAAATTGTGCTTTGTATCGAATTCATCAACTGTTAAGAATGGCCCGTAGTAATGATATGATACGTTGTTACCATTCAGATCAAGAGCATATGGGTAAAATCCATAAACATTCACATGTTCGCAGAGACTTAGAGCACCAATGATCGCCCTTATTCCAGTTGTTGGCGTCGTTACCTTGAGTATCCTAAAAAAAAACAATGCGATTAAGGATATATATACTTCATTTTGGCCAGAACAATGACAAACGCTTGAAAATATATATATATATATATATAATTTTTAAATAATAACAATTTCAGAAAATGGAATATTTGTTCAGAACATTTTTTGTCACACATAATAACCGTATGTTTATTATTTTATGAAGCATTTATTGTGATTTTTTTCACTTGAAACTGTTGTAACATATGCCTTATGTACAATAGGCATAGGCAATAATAATTTCACGTGACATTGACCGCCAACTTTTCTTTTGAGAAATAATGTTTATTACATCTTCTTCTACAGAATGGCTACAGAATCAATGTATTTCAGATTATTTTAAAACATATAAATCACATAAGAGATTGAGAAAAGAAATTTAAATGATCAGGTAGGTTTTATTGTTTACAATTTACGTCACTACATGTCGGATTATACAAACATATATACGTGTCATACAAATTGATCGTTACAGCCATTCTTCCCTCTTACAAGACATGTGACTGCATGAATCATTGCCACAAATTAAAGCATATTCCACTGACATCCTTAAAACCAACAATCCTGTGTTGCAGCCAAACATACCTTCGTAGTCTCCAGGTCAGCTGATTGTCAAATGTGATAGCAAACTGAAATGAAAGGTCAAAATTGGTTTTCAGGTACTTAAGGGCAGCTTTTGCAGTGTTTTTCGGTACATTTTTACTGCGAAAAGATTCTGGATACCACAATATTGTGTCATTAAGAAGGTGCAAACGCGTCAGCACTTCATCATGGATCGTTCCATTTAAATACAGTCTGTATAAATAGAGCATGGTAGCCTGGAAAACTATAGTCACGTTTGTTTTAGTTCCAACATCTTTAACATAATTGCTAACATCTGGAACATTACAGCGGATAACGAAATCGTTGGAGTCAATGTCTTCACCGCACAAGCTGTTTAGTAAAATTCCACTGTTGCCAACAACTGCACAACTCTTCTGCTTTGGCATTTGATATGTTGACTTAAAATTATGTTGATCCAAGTCCATATCTTCGATAGAGATATTTTCAGGGTACATTCTAATCAGACTTGTCGATGACAACCCGTTATGAGTTAGGTTTTCCCTGAAAAAATGAAAAGAAAATATAAAAAGCAGATGGCAGTTATAAGGTACACCACATATGGAACACCATTCAATGCAATATTACTCGTAGTCATTTAAATATAACGTAACTCTAAAAGCGTAATAAACATAATAAATATGCGAACAATATTGAATTTGCATGGCTAGAATATCTGCATTTGGAATTGGCATCATGGAGGTTGTTGCCATAAAACATTATAACGTGAAGTAAATTGTTTACAAAAGTTGCCAATGTATTGGTTAAGTGGGGTGTATTTGTGACTTGAAAATTATCATAGTCAATACGAAGGTATTGGATGAGTACAGAGTGAGCGTGGCGCGTCTCTGATACGTTTGCAGGTACATCAGACAGAGAAATTATTTCGCTGTTTGTGCCAGGGAATCGACCAAAGGTAGAATGTTCAGTAACAGTTTGGA